AAAAACTAATTTTTATTTTAATGTATTAATATTAAAATAATATATTCATTTTTGAGAATTGCACCGGTCAACGATATTAATACACTAACCCCTTATCAGGCTTAATCATTTCTCCTTAGACCGGATTAAATTATACATCGTTTCGATGTATTAAGGGATTGTGCTGTATAAGTTTATACCATACGATGGTCACACCAAATAACTGAAAATGTTAAAATGTATAGTATAAGCTTATACTATCAGGTCTTATACATCACACCAAACAGGTCCTTAAGCACAGGCTAACCTTTTAAGACCAAAACTCAGCTCGACTCGACCCGTTAAAACATCTACTGTTAAGCTTACTAAGTAAATAAAAACTGAATTTGAACAAAAAAAAAATCCATGTATAATGCGAGAGTAAATAGAGTTCTGTTATCATGAATTCGAATTCATGATGTGATCTTGTCTATTTGTTTTGCTTAATTTAAAAGATAAGTCAAATTCATATATTTGTATATATAATAAAAGGGTTTTATAAGAGTTATGTTGTAGGAAAAATGATTGTGTTATATTATAGAGATTTGTTTTGAGTGTCGTAGCTTTTTTTTTTTCTTCAAAACATGTGGGTTCCACAAAATGTTGTGTGTGTAGAAAAAATTTTATGATCATCTTAAATGACGAAAGCAAACTCATAATAAAAATTAAGTTATGGGCGTATCGCTATATATAGATTTCAATATTTCATAGTAGGAAAAAATGTTTGTCTTTTTAGATGACACAACTTATATCATTTTACTCTCACAAAGAGATGAGACCCACACTTTTATATTTTTTTTTCCACTCTCTCTTCCTTTATCTATCTCTTTCTCTAACTTAAAATAACACAAATTTACATCCTTTAAAATGATACACATTTTTTCCTTCATAATATATCATAGACTCATAGTTCATTTTAACAAAACTCATAGTTAGCATTAATTAATTGCAGCTTTAGAATCAAAACCTATAGCCGCGCTATAGTCCGAATGTCAAAATGGCCTTCTGTCAATATTAATGAGCATTCGAGGTATAGGAATAGGACTATAGGTTAGAAGCGTTAGAGTGAAAGAAATATAATAATTTATTAGATGTAAAATTAATGTGAATATTATAACAAAAAAAATACTGATGTTAAAGTGTCATTATCTTTTGTGTAAAATGTATTCCTCTTCCTCCTCATGAGAATTGCTTGGAATACATTGCCATTTCATTTATTTTGAAAAATTACACTCCCTTCACTTGAGAGATAAAATGTGCTATACTTTAATTTATTCTAATGTAAATGAACCTCTTGACAGTGATAAACAACAATAAACAAATCTCCCCATGAGTATTTTTCCTTCATGTACAACTCTTAGAATCACTAGCAATTAATTTTAAATACTTTACTATCGAGTGAAATAAATTTTTTAAAACCCTTATTATCAGTTTTTGAACTTGACCCAAAAATTTTCATTTTAACCTTCAATAGTTTCAAAGTCAGATAATAGAGATTCAAAACTATCCACATATGACACTAAGATTCATTAAGAGAAAAAAAATGTTTTGAAGAGACTGTTTATATACATATGGATTAAAGTATAACACATTAATTTATTATAGGAGAGGCCGAGAGGGGGATATAACTTTTCAGAATAGAGAGGATGAAGTGAATTTTTTTTTTTAATACAAAAGATGAAGTGAATTTTAAGTGAGGGCAAATCTGTAGAATACATTTCTCTATTATCCATCTAAAGGAGTTGGGAAAATCAATAAAAAGTGTAAAAAAAGTATTATAAGATGCTTGATTCTAAATTTATAGATTTAATGAAAACTTGGCATTTTATAGAATCAAACATCATATAATACATATATAGCTGACCCCAAATGTACATATATTTCAAATACAAAATGTTTTTGCATATCATTCACTTAATTATTTTAAATTCATAGCATTGTTAATTTGTTCATTAGATTAGCAAAAAAATAAAGAGAAAAGGATTAATTAAAAGAAAAACTTAAAGAGTTCATACTTGACACTCCAATTGCTCGTAAACAAATTAAAAAAAATAAAAAGAGTTAATTCAAGTGGTACATGCTTAATTCCGTTTAAGTATAGTTTGAGTTTAAGTCCATGTGGATGCAAAAAAAATTTCCTTTGAGAGAGCGATCTCCACCATGACGTGGATGTTTCTGACTCGAACAAAATTGCCTTCCGCTGATGATATCTATGGTTTATCAAAAAAAAAAAAAAAAAAAAAAAAAAAACTCTTTGGGATGCTTTCGCATGTTCTCTACCATATGCCTTATCCAACTTTTTATCTAGTTTTCATCATGCTCAAGATTCCAGTCATATAGGCATGATGTAAACTTTTGGGGAAGTGACTTAGCTTTAAAGGAAAGGGCATTTACCTTTTTCTGATGTAATTAACTAATTATTATGATTGACAAAAAATGAACGAAACAAAGGGCAGAACAGAATAGAAAAAATATAGCAAAATGGATAAGAAAGAAAAGAAAAGAAAAGAAAGAGAATTCGTATGAATTTGGGTAAACCTCGATACACAATTTGGAGGTAGAGATAAAGGTTAATTGTTCGTAATTTTATCCTTATATTTTTGTAAAGAAATTGTTTTCCAAAATTGAAAAAGAAGTAATTATTGATTTATACATCGGACAACTGATATCCTCTCATACCACCTCATTTTCTTCATTCACCAAAAGCTAATGTTGCACTAATCAAGTGCCTAGAGATGAAGAAAAACTCCATAACAAAGTAGTTTTTTCTTCCTTTTCTCAACTTTAGACACCTAGGAATCAACTTGTACGTGTCATAGCAGAAAGACTTGGGCGGCTTGTGAGTTGTGACCATCCAATTATGTACCTAGGAGGCAGAACTTCCACACAGATTATTTGATTCCTGAAAAGGATTTGTAGCATATCCACCACATTTCAGTCATCTCATCATAACCTCTGCACGTCCCTTTTTTTTTCTCCACTGAAATCTTACTCTTATGTTTAAATTTGTACATTTTCAGTTGGGTTTTTCGTTTGTCATGCAACATGACATTGTAAAATTTTCAACACACACAATATTTTGTGGGGTTCACACTTTTTGAAGAAAAAAAAAACCTACGGCACGCAAAACGAATCTCTATAATATTACACAACTACTTTTTTTACAACATAACTCTTATAAAACCTTTTTCAGTTTATACTTACATTTATGGGGAAAAGGGTAAAAAAAAAAAAAAGAAAGAAGCATATCAATTTATCTCTCCTCTATTACTGTAGAATCGGTAGGTGTAAAAGGAAAATTTAGAAAACTAAGTGGTGGACGTTTTGTTTCTTGTTACTTCTCCCATATATGTTGGTCTAAAGCAGATACAATGTAAAGCGCATGCCAGTATGTTGAAGTATATGCTTTAAAAGTCTCATTCAAATGTGCCAAATCAAGGTTACTAATAATTTTTATTGTGAAAAGCAATGAAAAAAAATAAAAAATCATATGATATCAACTTGAGGCATGGCATACCCTAATATTTATCTTCTTTAATTTTCTTCCTCCCTTAGAAGGATATGCAATTGATAATGGTGTAAAATTTTATCCACTTGCGCTACTCAATACACTTTTTGTATGTTGGGTAACGTCTCTAATACTAAAAAATAAAAAGTAGAGAACACAACAAATTATTATGGCTTGTTAAATTTGCCACTTAAAACATGAAAAAGGTTTCCAAAATTTGCTATGTTTCAGAATCAACAGGCTCGTTAAATGCATGCAACCTATTCTGAAATTAGATTTGAAATTCCCTATTCTACTTGAGCAAAATTTCCTCTCTTTTGAGTGTTCTAGGAAGCATGAATTTAGTTGGTAGAAAATTGAGTAAAAGCATAATGAGAGTGCAAAATAGGGGAGAGGGTATATGCTGTTCTTTTTAGGGGAATCACTCATTTCTTAAAAGAGAGAAAAGAAACCAAATTTTTTTTAAATATCATTGTCATTTGTCAAACCTTTCAAAAGGCGTGGGTGGAAATAGGCCCTTGATAGTTACCTCTGTATCATTGATGAACTTGATAATCATAACTCATCACTAGCAACTTGGGGTTATTAGAGATATTAAAGTGGTTCAAGAGTATATATATATATATATATATATATATATATTAGAAGAGAAAGCTTAAGGGAGAGCTAAACTATAAAGAAATGACTGCAAGAGAGGTTGTGATAAGGTCTCACATTTGAGATTGTGGGGCTAAAAACGACCAAAAGATCTTTAATCTTTTCTCTGACCAAACTCTGCCACGCTTTGCAGAAGCATCCACCAGCTCTATTAAGCCAAGGTACTTTTTTTTACCCTCAATGTGTATCCATCAATTCTTTCTTGAAAACCTTTTGAAACATGTGATATCTCAGCTCATAGTTAAATCAGAGTTCAATGTATTTTACTAGTTTGTGTTTTTACCCTCCTAGTACAATCGGTTTAAGTTGAAAATTCTGCATATTCTTCTTCAAATTTTGAGTGCCCACATAGAAGATACGACCAATCTACCAATTTACTCTGTCCTTTTACTCTTTGTAGATGAAATCCACATAGATAAGATTATAGGTCACATAAAGAAGCATTGAGTAATAAACTTTAGTTTGTTTGTATTCATATGGCTTTGTGAGTGCTGGTGTTATTGGGTAAAAGGAATCTGAAAGATTGCAATAGCAGGTGTTGGCTTTTTGGGACCAGTAGCAGTTGCAGAATTGTCACAATTGCATGCTGTGGACAGCTGCAGATTAAGGGCCACAAGAACTAATAGTTAAGAGCAACAAGAACAATAGCAAAGTGTGTCTACCTAAAGAAAACAAATCCCTATAAGAAAAAAAAAACAGTGAGTCACATATAAGGAAAAAAATATCTGGATTTCATTGGGAATCTACTGCAACCATTAAGTCCTATACAAAGAGCACATGAATCACAAAAACAAAATTTGAGCACATACACTCATTATCAATATCCTCATCAAGAGGGCATAATTTCCGACCAAACCATAGAACATATAAACATGAGGACCAATGAAGGAGAGATTGTTCAAGTAGAAGGAGGCCACATTGTTCGATCCACAGGTAGAAAAGATAGGCACAGCAAGGTTTGCACTTCCAAAGGTCCTCGTGATCGCAGGGTTAGGCTCTCAGCACACACAGCCATTGAATTCTATGATGTTCAAGATCGTCTTGGCTATGACCGACCCAGCAAAGCTGTGGACTGGCTCATCAAGAAAGCAAAGCCTTCCATTGACAAGCTTGCTGAGCTTCCTCCATGGAATCCAATTGCTGAAACTAATGAAGCTCATGGGGAAGATCAAAACGCAGGCTCAAGTAGCATGGTCATTGGAGAACAACAATCAGAGTCTTCTGGTTACAATTTTCATTTCCAAAACCATTCACCTTTCATTTCACCACACGTTGACACTGACCCTATAGCTTTCTTTCCCACTACCTCTTCTACTTCTTCCTCCATCAATTTTCAAAGCTACCCTCCTGATATTATCTCAAGAACCAACATCTCCACAGAAGATCTTGGTCTGTCTCTTCATTCCTTCCAAGACCACCCTGGTTTGATTCATTGGCAATCACAAGAAGAAGCAGGTGCAAATCAAACACCTTCAAATCAACACCAAACTCTTTTTGCTGGCTCAACTCCAACCGGGTTTGAGAACTATCATCAGAGAACTGTGACTTGGAACAATGAAGCAACTGCGGATCATATAAACAGAATGGGGTTCATGATCAACTCACAGCAGCAATTTCTAGGCCAAGGTTCAGCTTCAGCATATTCTCAAAATGGGACCCTTCAGTCCAGTTTTTCACCTTCAGTTCGTTCTTGGAATGAAATTCCAATGGCTTCCTCAGAGCACCAAAGGTCCCAACCAGTTCATCAACCTTCAATCTTTGGCAGCAGGTTTCTGCCTGATGGATTAGCAGGGTTCTGCATTCCACCTAGAATTCAAGGTGAGGAAGAGAACCATGGAGTTGCTTCATCTTCTGCTTCTGCTAGTTCTCACCACTGATTCCAAACAAGAACTGAGCAATGTTGTGTTCTTCCTATCAGGTGAATATCCCACTGATAATATTATCATAAAGTTGTAATCTTTTGCTTTTATGGAACAAATAATAAAAATTCGGCAAAGAAATTTCACATGCAAAGCTGCAAATCCAGTTGATAAATTTCTCTCATGCATCTTATTATATGCAGGAGCATTCTCTACCAGATTTGCAACTGAGTGAAGATTAAATGGACACATTCTTATGATCTACAAAATTCTCCTTTCAATGTTTGTTTTTTTGGCTTTTTTTTTTTTTTTTGGTTTTAAATTAAAAGTAGCTATCTATGTATGTATATAGTCCTCAGTGTTTTGTGAATGTTGAGAATAACATAGTTCATCTGATAAAAAAAAAAAGAGGTCACATGTCCATTCTTGGTGAAACCCACTTCAAGAAAAACAGAATCTAACATGATTTTGATTTATTCTCTCCTATGATAGAAAGAGAATATGGTTTCCATTTTCCTTGCCCTTCAAGTACGACATTTAAAGGAACTTTGGAACTTAGTAAATTCATACATGCCTTATAAATATCAAGTGGTTGTTTTGGGGGGTTTCAACAGCTTTATAATCAAACTATGTGACATCTAATTTAGAAGAAATATTAAACAAAAATAAATTAAAGACTTGACGTTTCAGACTTTGAGTAGCTATGCATTGCTTATGGTGTGTGGTTTTTTGGAGGTTAAAAAGTTCAACTTATGGTGTGTTACTTAATGTCACTTTCTTCGTACACAAAAAAGTCAATAGTAGCCTATAGAGCATTGGAATTTGAATACTGATCCTACATTGCTAGAACTTTTATCGTGCCGTCTTGAACTACATCAAAACTTCAAATGGCAATGAATTTGTAACATAGATTTCAAACAACTCAGTGCTGGCTAGGCTAACGTTAGCATTTGGAAAATGTGATCCTGCTCCTTTGGTAGTGTTTGATAATTCACAAACTTGCATACGTAATTAGCACCAACATACTCTTTCCCTTAAATCATTTCCTAATATAACTAAAATATCAACTCTCCGTACCTTATCCACAATGCTGAAAGGGCACATTGATGATTGCATTAGTCCAAAACTGATAGCAGCGAAGTTTCATGTTGATCAACAAACCGGTTTTGCAACTGGGCTGACCATATAATCTTCTTCTAGAGCATCTTACAGTTTGGAGCAGTTTTAATTCATGGATCTTCAATGGAACAAGATGGAGGTGTACCTGCAAAACACTTCGACGCTCAAGTCAGATATGGTTCAAGCAGATTTTTATTATATAGAAGATGTATACCTTAGTGTTGATACATATGTATTTATAGTAGAGAGATGAGTAGCTTAGGGAATGACCAGCATTGCAAGTGATGAGACATACTTGGAGATGAAATGTTCAGAAAGATAAGGTTTTTAATGTTGAGAAGCTTGCTATCATGTAGCTTTTAATATTGTGCAGCTTGATGAGATGAGCTTTGTGATAGAGGTGAGGTTGCAGTCTTCTTTAACTAAAGCTCCGCTTAAAGATGAAGGCTTTCAGAATTGACTTTTATATTATTATAATATACATCCAGTCCAGATCACAGTTCACATGTATTGACTTATTAAAATAATTTTGGAGATATACTGAAACTAGCTAGTTATATCAAAGAATTGTTTTTTAAAATTATTAGACGAAGGCCACGTTAATGAGTTTATATTATAATTTTTACCATGTCTTGTGACATAAGAGTTTATTGCATGGATTTGAAGGATAGACAAGGTATAGACCCATCTATTTATATTAAGAAATTTTATAATATTTAATTATTTTATTAATAAAATAGGGACAATGATAATTAAATTTGTGACTATTTAATCAGAAAGGCTCTGATATTATGTGTAAATAATCAATTCGTAAAACAATCTAGAACAATACTGCTAATATTATAAACCTTCTTCTTGGCGAATGTAGAGTATCTAAAAACCGCATGCAGTCTCTAATTCTGTATCTTTGAGAGACATATTACAATTGTTCGAAAAAGATGTTAAGAATGGTACGGGGAGCCCAAAACTCATTGCAAGGGATACATCTATGGGCCTAGCGATAAACCACAATAAGTGAGCTGACACCACATTTTAACCCAAGGCTTCCCCTGGACTCGCTTGACATTGGAGTTTGAGGGAACGAATTTCCTAACAAAAGAATCATGTCAATATCACGAAGGGAAAATCTGTATTCAAGATATTGGTTCGAAAATAAACCTGAAAAATCAAAATAATTTGATATCATTTCACAATAATTGAGAGAGACAAAATTAACATTACTTGTCTTCCAATGACAAAAATGATATTTATTCAACTTTTTAAGGACAAAAACAACAGTTTACTATGTTATCAAAAAAAAAAAAAAAACAACAGTTTACTTAAATTAAAAAATTAATAAAAAAAAATTTGTTAACATTTATTCTCAAGGCTCGTGTTAAAAAATAAAGATAATATTTATCATTCTTTATTAGGTATTTTAAAATTTATAAGCTACTAAATATTTTTTATTTTTAGTAACCCTTTAATCTCCGGCTTAAATGCACGACTCAATAAAACTCATAAAATGGGCTATCAATGATCCCATTTCATCTGTTTGAAAGTTCAGCGAGTTTGATTTGTTTTCCTCAAGGTGTAGCAAATCAATATAAGAGTGATTCGGTGAGATAATAATAAAATCTAGAGCTCGATAATAATAATTATCGTGTAAAATGTGATAAGCCTAATTATTTATTTCTGTGAACCCTATTATGGTGTGAGATAGCGCACTCTTATGAAGCATCGACACTTAAAAAATCTTGACGTGTCGTATCCGACACTCACCGACACTCTAATTCTCATTGCAAATACTCAAAAAAAGTTCAAAGGTTACGTTGCATTGCATTTTGAGTTCCAACTATTAGATTCGTTAGATTATGATTACGATTTTATTGACTTTAATATAAACATTTGGGATATCTTATATTTCTTTGCAAAATTGATGAGTATTATAATTTTAGCTTTATTTTTTTGTTAAATTATTGAATACTAAATATAATATATACTACATAAATTAAAAATATTATATAATATTAAAATTTGTCCTAACGTGTCGAAATTTAATATTTTTTAGAATTAACGTGTCGGAATGTCGTGTCGTGTCGTACCCCGTGTCCCGTGTCGATGTCGGTGCAACAGAGGCACACACCTTCAATTTATATGTAAGATGTGTGTGCATGGAGAAGTGAAGTGGAAACGTAAGTCATTAGAATTGGTCTAATAGTGAAAGATTTTGGATAATTTGTATTAGATTACGTGTTCAATTTTCACTATTGTATAAAATAAATAAATAATTGTTAAGTAGAAACAATGTTTTCGAGTTTATAAATTCATGTCTTTTGCCTTCACATTGGGCCTAATGGACCAACCCACCATTCAAATTTCTTACAATACAAGTTAAAGAAGGAATTAGAGTGATTAGAATGGTCATTTAATACCAACAAAACACGACACAGTTGTTAAATAGTTATGTCCTTTAAGCATGCTGATTTCTATAAACATCGAACCTAATTTGGAGAGTGACTAGAGTATTTGGACTTATAAAACCAAAACAAATTTAATTTATTTATTATATATTTATAATTTATATTTATATTAACTATATTTTTTATCCAAATTACTATATGTATTACTTATTTTATTATATTCAAATATGTTTTTCATATCATTTTATTATTTTGTAAACATATGTTTTATTATTCAATTTATGAATCTTAATTCTAACATATTTATGATTTAAATTAATTTTAATTATATTTTTATCCATATTATTATATTTATTACGTATTTTACTATTTAAATATACTTTTTGTTTAATTTTTAAATATTAACTTTTTATTATATATTTTTATTGAGATACACAATTACATTGACAAGAAAATAAAATCAATTTTATTTTCTTTGAATTTAATTTTTTTTATCTAATTTTTATATTCTAAAACTATTCTTTCTATTTTATATATTTTGATTATATATTTATATAAATATATTTTAAGTCTATTTGAAATTGACTAAAATATAAAATCTATTTTATTATATTTAAATTTTACATTTTAGAGAATTTTCAAAACTTATTTTATGACTTATTGTTTTGTTTTTATATAATAATTTTTATTATATTTTTAAATATTGCAATTTGCTACTATAACACCATGTTCTAGAACTGGTTTCTTATCATTACATATGATATTAAGCGTAGTTACAATCACAGTAGTTGAATTAAAATATGACCTTTAACTTTTTTCTTTTTAAAACATAACATTTATTGCTTAAAAAATTTTCCGTATTAATACTCAATTCGAACTGTAATTATAACTCAATTATAACTCAATCACAATGCGAAATATTTAAACCTAGTTTAGCATCTCACACAACCATTATAAGGTACCACCATGAGGTTTCCATATACAACATGGCTTCAGTAACCGAATTTTGGTAGTTAATCACACACTTTTGGCAATCTCCTACCAACATCGTCAAAACAAAACGGGCAACACTCCGTTTGTTTTTTGGACATCTGGGGATAAATCTACTACAGTAATCCACACCTAATAGGCAATTTATTACAATAAACATACAGTAATCAAATAGGCATACAAGCCCTTCCATAATATAAGCCAATAATGTCCATATACAATATATCAATGTCCCAAATTATACATAGTTTACAAAATACATTAATTGGACATAACTAGTCAAAACACATGATCAAGGTCCTTGCATCATACATCAACATGAACATACAAGGATAGTGATAATTGGCTAAGTCCTCAAATGCTAATACATCATTACACGATGTCATCAAAATAATAAGGTTATAACCAAAGGCATGATAACACATCATATCATTCAAATCCTATACAAATCATAATTCATTATGCATATCCAAAATGTACAAGCTCCATAATCCTACTCGAGCCTTT